CACTTCTGGTGTAAAACATGTGAATTATGTTCGAATAAGGATTTATGTCATTGTATCAATTTCAGTGACACTCGCTCAGTCTCACAGTAAGCCGGTGACATAATTGAAAATTGTTTGCCCACTACACATGCAATGCTAGGCTTAAAACAGGCTTCATGTCAGATCAGCATATACAAAGCAAATATCACTTGCTGAGTCACATCCCCTCATCCTGCTGAGAGTGGTCTTTCTGACAGCCTTGCTTGGTCAGTGCTATAGCACAGGGCTTTATATAGCACAGGGAGTGTATGTATGACATTACAACGTGGAGAGAGACATTCAGGAAATACTGCCTGTTTCCAGATACAAACCTTTATAGATGCTACATTTCGCAAATAAGAAACAGTCGAAAATACATGTTTTCAATTTTATATTCCAGTGCTGACGAATATGTTGGTGCTTTATAAATGCCAGTAATAATAATAATAAAAAAATATAATAATACATGATTGATACGTTAATAAAAAGAGTTGCATTTGTTTTGAAAAATGACATCATTTGGACTGGGTAATTATTTATTCACTAAAGACATATGTATTCAAATCTTATGCTTTTGTAAGGAGAACCAATAAAATTAAAAATAAAAAGAATTAAATATTTTTTCTATTTTTCATGTGTACCAAAGTGATGCATTATGTATGTGCGTTTAAGTACTTTTCAAATGCATTGGCGCATTCAGTGTGTTATACGTTGCATGCACAGAATTATTTATTATACGTGCATGCATTTATCATGAAATAATACCAACAAAATCAGATGAAATTTAACGTAGAGAAATGCAAAGTTATGCACTTCAGGGTTAAGAATGCACAAGCAACTTACACACTAAATGGTAATGAATTAGGGATAACCACACACAAGAAGGATTTGGGAATTGTTATAGATAAGAAATTAGGCAGCAATATGCAATGTCAATCTGCAGTTGCTAAGGCCAGTAAGGTTTTGTCATGTATAAGTAGGGGCATAAATTCTCGGGATGAAAATATAATTTTGCCTCTTTATAAATCGCTGGTAAGACCACACCTTGAATATGCTGTGCAATTTTAGGTGCCTATTCTAAAGAAAGATATCATGGCACTAGAAAAAGTCCAGAGACGAGCTACAAAATTGATAAAAGGAATGGAGCATTTTAGTTATGAAGAAAGGTTAAAAAAAATAAATCTGTTTAGTTTGGAAAAACTGCGCCTGAGAGGGGATATGATAACTTTATACAAATATATTCGGGGCCAGTACAAATCTTTATCTGGAAATCTATTCATAAACAGGGCTATACATAGGACACGAGGTCACACATTTAGGCTGGAAGAAAGGAGATTTCATCTAAGGCAAAGAAAAGGTTTTTTTTTACAGTAAGAGCAATAAGGATATGGAATTCTCTGTTTTGTCAGAGTCACTACAGAGGTTTAAACTGCAATTGGATACATACTTACAAAAACATAACATACAGGGATATAATTTCTAATTAGTGGGGTAATAGCTGGAGACATCTGACTGCTATTTTGGGTTCAAGAAGGAATTTTTTCCCAGTTTGTGGCAAAATTGGAAGCACTTCAGACTAGGTTTTTTTGCCTTCTTTTGGATCAACAGCAACAACATATGTGAGGAAGGCTGAACTTGATGGACACAAGTCTCTTTTCAGCTATGTAACTATGTAACTATGTAACTTTTAGTCTTGACATTTCTGTATTTTAATTCAAGAAGAAGGGAATGATTGAATTCTATGTATATGTCTTAAATATAGACCCGATTTTGGCTGGACTGTCCAGATTTCAGGATCATATTACACCCTTCAGATTTAGTTCCCTGGTATCCCACACCTGGGGACATCAGGAAGCTCTCCTCAGATAGTACAGCATCATTAAATGCGCTTGCACATGGCCACCATCACGGGGGTAGAGTCTGTACAGCTGTATTGGACCTGGGCCGCCAGGAGACATTATGTGCCCAGGTCCTATACCCCAATGTGCATATATATGTATAGCATATATCGTTGTATATATATACAATATCTCACAAAAGTGAGTACACTCCTCACATTTTTGTAAATATCTTATTATATCTTTTCATGTGACAACACTGAAGAAATTACACTCTGCTAGAATGTAAAGTAGTAAGTGTACAGCCTGTATAACAGTGTATATTTGCTGTCCTCTCAAAATAACTCAACACACAGCCATTAATATCTGAACCGTAAGCAACAAAAGTGAGTACACCCCTAAGTGGAAGTGTCAATATTTTGTGGGGCCACCATTATTTTCCAGCACTGCCTTAACCCTCATGGGCATGGAGTTCACCAGAGCTTCACAGGTTGCCACTGGAGTCCTCTTCCACTCCTCCATGACAACAATCTCGGAGCTGGTGGATATTAGCAATCAAATGTCCTTCAGCACTCTGAGTGTTCTTGGGAAGTTGATAAAACCATGACCATTTGAGGATGCCCCACAGATGCTCGATAGGGTTTAGGTCTGGACACATGCTTGGCCAGTCTATCACCTTTACCTTCAGCTTCTTTAGCAAGGCAGTGGTCATCTTGGAGGTGTGTTTGGGGTCATTATCATTTTGGAATACTGCCCTGCAGCCCAGTCTCCGAAGGGAGAGGATCGTGCTCTGCTTCAGTATGTCACAGTAAATGTTGGCATTCATGGTTCCCTCCATGAACTGTAGCTCCCCAGTGCCGGTACCACTCAGACAGGCCCAAACCATGACACTCCCACCACCATGCTTGACTGTAGGTAAGACACACTTGTCTTTGTACTCCTCACCTGGTTGCTGCCACACATGCTTGACACCATCTGAACCAAATAAGTTTATCTTGGTCTCATCAAACCACAGGACATGGTTCCAGTCAGTGGCGGATCCAGGGGGGGGCAACGGGGCAATTGCCCCCCCTGAGAAAACCGAGGGTCTCCCTCTCCCCTGCCAGCACATGGAGGCGTTAGCCCTGCAATGTGTCTGTGGACCAGAGGGGAGATCACACATCTCCCTCCCCGGTCCGCAGGCACTATGCTGGCAGCTGGCAGGGGAGGGAGAGAGGGAGGACCCGGGAGCTCAGGCTGCAGCTCCTCCGGGTCCTCCTCTCGCGAGCTTGGAACGTTGCTGCGGTTACCACGGCAATGCTCCAAATCTCGTGAGAGTGAACTCTAGCTCTGGAGTGCGGGCTAGAGTTCACTGTAACCACTGGGCCACCAGGGAATCCCACTGGGACCACCAGGGATCGAAATATGTCCCCCCTCCTCCTCAATAAAGGTAAGAAGGGAGGGGGGACATATTTAATATTAATTTTAATTAAATAAATTAACAACAAAAAAAGCATATTATAAAAAAAGCCCCCCCATACCTTATAACACACTCTCACACCCTACACACACATTGCCCTTCCCCCTCACACACATACACTGCCCCCCATTCACACACACTGCCTCCCATTCACACACACTGCCCCCCATACACACACACTGCCCCCATACACATACACTGCCCCCATACACACACACTGCCCCCCATACACACACACTGCCCCATAGACACACACTGCCCCCATACACACACACTGCCCCCCATACACATACACTGCCCCCCAGCCACACACACATTGCCCCCATACTGCCCCCATACACATACATTTGTCCCCATACTGCCCCCCCCATACACACACACTGCCCCATACACACACACACTACCCCCCACACACACTGCCCCCATACACACACACACACACTGCCCCCCATACACACACACTGCCCTACACATACACTGCCCTCCCATACACACATAGACTGCAACTGTCACACACACATACTGACCCACACATACACTGCCCCCCTAACACACACACTGCACTCCTGACATACACTGCCGCACTCACACACTGTCTCCCTCACACACACACTACACCCCTCACACATTGCACCACTGCTCCTTTGCCCTATGACAGCCCCATTTCCCAGCAGACCTCAGGTAAGTTGTCAAACTGTTCTTAAACGGTTTGACTACTTACTCTGGGAGGGGGTCCCGGCACTATTGGCACCATAACCACTACACTGAGCGCCCACCCGGCACTGGGAAAAAGGTAAGTTTTAACCCTTTCCTCTCCCCAGAGCCGGGCGGGAGGGGGTCCCTGAGGGTGGGGGCACCCTCAGGGCACTATAGTGCCAGGAAAACAAGTATGTTTTCCTGGCACTATAGTGGTCCTTTAGTCTGCTTGTCTTCAGCAAACTGTTTGCAGGCCTTCTTGTGCATCATCTTTAGAAGAGGCTTCCTTCTGGGACGACAGCCATATGGACCAATTTGATACAGTGCGCAGCATATGGTTTGAGCACTGACAGGCTGTCTCCCCACCCCTTCAACCTCTGCAGCAATGCTGACAGCACTCATATGTGTATTTCCCAAAGACAACCTCTATGGTCGACAGGGCCGGACTGGCCCACCGGGATACGGGGAAATTTCCCGGTGGGCCGCGGCACCTGGGGGCCGGCCGGGTTCCTGGCTGGAGCCGCCGGGCCGGGTGGCAGCTTCCCCGGTCCGGCAGCCCTGCTCCTCTCACTGCCAAGACCGGCCGCGGCGGGCCGGCCTTTTAAATACTGCAGCAGCCCGAGCGCTCTGTTAAGAGCCTCAGGCGGCTGCAGCTTCTCCCCTCTCCTCCGCTCCCCTGTAGCGTGGCCGAGCTGCACTCCGGTCCGCGGTGGCTGGCCGGCCGGAGTGATAACAAGGTGCACTGAGTGTGCACTTCCTGTCAGTCCAGCCGGTTACAGGAAACAGAAACTCCTGTTCCGCGTGAAGTTTCTGTTTCCTGTAACCGGCCGGACTGACAGGAAGTGCACACTCAGTGTGCACTTCCTATCAGTCCGGCCGGCCACCG